GTAGACGATATCTTCCTTCCTTCCCGCTCACTCCTTCCTCTTTCTCACTCCTCCACAGTGTCTCTCTCTCTCTCTCTCTCTCTATGTCTCCCCTCCAATTAGGTCTCGAGCCGGAGGGGGCTGAGGTTGGGGGGGAGGAGGAGAACGAGTACGAGAAGGAGAAGGTGGAGGAGCAGGAAATATCGGTGGAGGGGAGAGATGAGGATGTGGAGCAGGCGTGGGTGCACTCGCTTCATTCTTTCTCTCTATCTCTCTCTCTCTCTCTCACTCTGTCTCTCTCTCTCTCTGTCCCAAATCCCCATCCTCCATATCCTCCTGTCCCCCTTCACCTTCTCCACAGCCTCATCTTCATCCTCCCTATTCTCGTTTTTATCCGCGATCATTTCCTCTTCCGGTTAACGTTTGACACAAGAAAAGCCAAAATTTGTGCGGACATACCACACACACACACACCTGCACAACCACTCACGCTTTAATCACAGCGATTCCGATCGCGCATCGAGTCCGCAGACTAAGCAGGGGCGCTACCAGGCGGATTTGTGCACAGAAGGCGGGGGCACAGAAGAGGGCAGCCGCGGGGAGGGAGCACGCCAACGCACACATATACACACACACACACACACACACACACACACACACACACACACACGCACACGCACACACACGCACACACAACACACACACACACACCACACACACACACACACGCACACACACGCACACTCACACACACACACACACACACACACCACACACATTCACACACACACACACACGCACACGCACACTCACACACGCACACAAACACACACACACAACACACATACCACATAACGCACATACACACACACGCACACATTCACACATTCACACATTCACACATTCACACATTCACCACATTCACAACACACAAACACAACACACACACAACACACACACACAACGCGCACGCACGCACGCCGCACGCACGCACGCACGCACGCAGACAGACACCACACACCACACACACACACACACACACACCACGCACGCACGCACACACACACACACACACACACACACACACACACACACACACACACACACACACACTTTTGAGCGTTCGCGGGCAAGGCCGAGCTCCTCCAGGCCGAGTAGCAGGTCTGCGAGCGCGCGCGCGCGCCACGGGCCAGCGGCAGAACACGCAGGTAGCAACAGTGGCCAAAGCTGGCCAGAATTAGGACGACAAGGGGACAGCAAGACAAGGGCAAGGGGCCAAGCGGAGCGGAGAGGGAAGCGAGGAGCGAGCAGCGACAGCGGACAGCCGAGGGAGACAAACGGACGGACGCGAGGGACAACGGACCGACCGACAGAGGAGGGGGAGCCGACGGGAAGAATGGAGACACCACATTTGTTCTACCATCCGCAGAGCGCCCTGTGGCAGAGAGAAGTTGGAGGACGAGGAGGAGGAAGAGGAGAAGGAGGAGGAGTAGGAGGAGGAGGAGGAGGAGGGAGAGGGAGGGAGGAGAGGAGGGAGGAGGAGGGAATGGAGGAGAGGGGAGGGAGGAGGGATGAGGGGGGACGAGGACGAGGACGAGAAGGAGGAGGAGGAGGAGGAAGAAGAAGAAGAACAAGGAGGAGGAGGAGGAGGAAGAAGAAGAAGAAGGAGGAAGAGGAGGAGGAGGAGGAGGAGGAAGAAGAAGAAGAAGGAGGAGGGGGGAGAAACGCAGCCGACTCAATCAGGCGCGCCCGGGCGCGCTGCGAGGCGCCGTCGCAGCGCCTCGCGCCATCCAGCTTCCGCGCAGCCCGCCTGGGCAGGCAGCGCCAGCAGCAGGGCGGCGGCGCCCGGCGGCAAGCCTGGGGCCCAGCCACCCTGCACGGCAAGCTGCCAGCCGCGGCCAGGGCAGCGCCCAGCAGCCGCAGCAGAGGCAGGCTGCCCAGGCCAGCCCCTGGGATGCCGCGTGGGCCCTCAGAGGCCGTGCCGGCGAGGCGGACGCTGGCTGCGGCCGCAGCCCGCGCGGCGCCCCTGCGGCGGCGGCCGCCCCTGCGGCGTCGTCACCCTCGCGGGGGGCGCGCCGCTTGCGCCCTAGGGCCGTCCAGCGCAGGCGCACGCGGGGCTGGTGGGCGCCGTCGCCGCGGTTGGCTTTCAGCACGGCCAGCTCCGCGGCTGCCACCACGCGCTGCACTGCAGCGAGCGCGTCCAGCCCGCGCGTGCGCGCCCCAGGAGGAGCGCAGCAGGCGGCAAGCGGGCCCTGGCCGCCCGGCCAGCGAGGCTGTCTGCGGCCGCGGTGCCAGAGTGGTTTTCCGGCGAGACCCTCCGCTCGCGGCCCGCCGCGGCGTCCAAATGCGCCTTGACCCACCATGCACGCAGGGCGCCGCCGCGGCAGTGCGGGGCAACGCGCTCCCACGGATCCGCGCACGCCCACTCCGCGGGGCTCGCCCCGTCGCAGAGGGCCGCCACGCCGCGGCTGATGAAGCAGGAGCCGGTGACGATGTCGACCCACCCTCCAGCCAGATTCAGCGCATGCATGACCGCGGCGAGTTCCGCCCGCTGAGCAGTCTGCGCGCCGTCCACGGGCCCACCGTGCTCGACGAAGCCCGTCGCGCCCGCCGCCTCCAGCCGGACCCCTCAGCCCGCTCTCGCAAGCAGCGGGTCCGCCCGGCCGGGCACAGGCCCCGTCGGTCCAGGCACGCGCCTTGCGGCTGGTTGGCAGCACATCCAGGCCAGGGAGACCACACACCACTAGGGCAAGGCAAGACGCGAAGAGGGAAAGGAGCCAGCTGATGAGGGAGGCGAGGGGGGAGGACAGGAGGCACAACAAAAAGGCAGGGGGTGTGAGGAAGGAGACCACTCAGCGGCTGGAGGCACGCCAGGGGGGCAGCGCGACTCGCAGAAGGAGACCAGGCTTCCAGAGGGGGGAACCGCGGGGGGGGGGGGGGGGGGGGGGGGCGACGCGACCGACAGGAGAGGGACGAGAAGGTCAGGGGGAGGAGAGCGGCGGCGGAAGCATCGAGACGCCGCCCTGCCGGGCGGCGCACGGGTGCGCAGGGAGGCCGAGCCTCCAGGGGGGGGGGCACCCGGGGGAGTGTCGAGCAGAGGCGCCAGGGCACCCGGCCGGCACCCCGGGCGGCGAGGGGGAAGGGCGGGGGGAGGAGGGGACGACGCCAGAGACCAGGAGAAGGACGAGGAGAGGTCGGGGGCGGAAAAGAGGGGGGTGATGACTAGGGGGGGGTGGATATCATGGCGCGGGCCATGATATTTCCCCAGATTTCGTGGCGCCTCTTCTTGTTTTATTACGTCCCTGGCCCCCCCGCTGGGCCGCGCACATGCCGCCGGTCATGATTTGCACCCCCCCCTCTTGGACACCCCCCTCTTTGCCGCTCCCGAAGAGGGGGAGGCGAGTGAGGTCTCGCTCGCACCACATCTGACATCCGGCGCGGCTGCACTTCTGTGCCGCCCCGCCGGCGGTGCACGAGAAACGAGGCCGGGCCCCCGGAGGGACACCCAGGGAAGCCAAGCGGGAGCAACGCGTGCGCCGCCCTGCGGGCTCCCCGGGTGGAGAGAGGGAGCGGCACGGGGGAGGAGGGGAGGAGGGGACGGCACGACCGACAGAACGAGGAAGAGGGGAGGAGTCGACGATTCGTGCACGACGATTCCGAATCATGCACGCTGTACTTCCTTCGGGGCGGTCGTGGCTGGAAGAGGCAGCAGACAGGAGCCTGAGAAAGGCGCGTAGCGCATCGCATCCCCATCGCCCAGCAGCCTCCGTCATCGAAACTTGGAGGCAAGCGAACCTCTAACAGCAAAGATAGCATGCAAGCGAATTTCCATCATCGACGAACCATGAACGCTGTAACACATGTGCGCTTTACTGGCTGGAAAGATGCGATCGGGTAGGCTCTTTCCCTGGGAGATCTCACGAAGATGAGAAGTGGCAAAAAAGAGGATGCAAGCGAACAGTCATCATCCAAGATAGGAAAAGGGGAAGGACGAGGGGAAGACAGGGTTGCAAAACGCTGAAAGAGGGAAAGAGTACTTTCATCGATTACGGTTCATGCACGCTGTGTTCTCTTCTGCGAGCTCTTGGCTGGAAGAGGCTGTGGACGGAGCCTGAGAAAGGCGGGCGTGCTGCGCCTCAGCCCCACCGCCCATCACGGAACACATACACACACACATACGCACACGCACACGCACACACACACACACACACACACACAAACATTATCCCGGCAAAGCAACCTAACAGCGATGTGTAGAAGCATAGCTGGAAACATTGCCTGTGGTATTCATGTAAGAGTGCTGTTGTAGAATTCTGGTGTTCTCGCAGTCGCATTCGGATTCGCAGTGGCAGTCGCAGTGGCAACATCAGCGGCAGTCGCAGTGGCACTGCCAGTAGTTGCAGTAGCAATAGCTACACTAGCAGGCTCACGAAGTGGCCTACAGTTGGCTCCGGGCATTCAAAATGTAGCCCGGGAATTGTGTTCTGGGAAATTCAAAAGCACGAAGTGGCCTACTGTTGGCTCCGGGCATCCAAAATGTGGCCCGGGAATGGAGTTCTGGGAAGTCGAAGAGCACGAAGTGGCCTACTGTTGGCTCCGGGCATCCAAAATGTGGCCCGGGAATGGAGTTCTGGGAAGTCGAAGAGCACGAAGTGGCCTACAGTTGGCTCCGGGCATTCAAAATGTGGCCCGGGAATGGAGTTCTGGGAGGTCGAAGAGCACGAAGTGTGTAACTGTTTGCTTAAAACGAGCCCGGCCCTCGCCTGTCCGGCTCCCGCCCAGACCCTTCTGGGGAGTCATCAGATGCTCTCTTGTGACCCCATTAGAAACCTATCAGTCTTTGCTGTTAGGTAACAAACACAAACACAAACACACACACAGACACACACACACACACGAACACACAGACACACACACACACACACACACACACACACAGACAGACACACTTGAACACAGACACACCCCAAACCTACACTCCAATTTCCCCGTCTCCATCCAGCCTGGGGCTGCTCTCAAAGGCCCCGTCGCCCCGACTGCTGGTCGCGAGCTTCGAGGAGCTGCAGGCCTCCTTCACGCAGGAGTGCTCGAAGATTTCCGGCCTCCTGGACGGACACGCGAAGGCGCTCCAGGCTCTGTGCAGCAGCGACGTAGAGCGCCCACCGACCACGCCTCCGCAGCTGACGAGAGAAGGCACGCTGAGTCCCACTGTGCGCTACGCCACGCCCACTGAGGCAGTCACGGAGGACGCCGAGATCGAGCTCTGCCGAGCCGTGAAGGAGCCCATGTCGCCGAAGCACGCCCAGGACGGCCAGAAGGCCACTACGCCGTTCGTCGCGTGGCAGTTCGACGAAGCGACCGCGAACCCGCAGCTGCGGCAGGGCGCCGCCTGCGAGCCTGATGACAGGGGCGACGAGCTCCCCGGGCAGACGTGCCGCCCAGATTGCTGCGACGGCCCTCCCAGGCTGTCCACTGCACGCAAGGGTGGCCCGTCGCTGGGGCGACTTCCTCCTCCTCCTCTTCCTCCTCCTCCTCCTCCTCCTCTTCCTCCTCCTCCTCCTCCTCCTCCTCCTCCTCCTCCTCCTCCTCCTCCTCCTCCTCACGAGGGAAACGGCGTAAACATAAAGTGTGCTCCGCGCGGGTTTCTCGGATCGGCGCCTGGGCCCCTCCAGCGTCGCCTCTGGCCGCCCCCGGCGCGCTCCGCGCGCCAGGGGGGGGGGTCCATCGCGGATCCCAAGGCATTCGCGCGGAGCTCCGAAAGTTTTTGTTGACGCCGGTGCCTCTTCCTTGCTGGTGCGGGCCCCGGGCCCGCATCAGGGGCAGCTTTGGGGGGATGGGCTCAGAGGTGGACGAAACGACCTCCAATAGCTCACTCGTCGCCGATAGGGGCCCGATGGCCCACCCCGCCCAGGAACGTGCGGTTTCGCTATCGAGGGTCTGTCGCCGATCTATCGGCGATATATCACCGAGGCCAGGCCGATGTGCCCTCGCCCCCCCGGAGCCCGTGCCCCCCACCGCCCCCCCGTCGCCACAGGGGTCCCCCCGCGCACTGGCGTGCGGCCCCCGAAAGCCGCGCACCAGAGGTCATTCCTGCCTACGGCAGGTCCGTGTCGTACCGACGCACCCAGAGATCCAACGCATTGAAAAAATCAAGACGGAGGTTTCTCGAAGTTTTTGGCCTCTGGGTACCCTCGCCGGGCCCCGGGACCGTCAAAAGACGGCTCAGGATGAAAAACGGGTCCTGGGGAATGGGTCGAGACTTCCGGGGATCCCGTATTGAAAAAGTCACGACATCGGATCTCTGGGCCGCAGCGACCCCGCCGCGGGCGTTCAAGGTTGAACGCCGACAGTGGCCCAGAATCGGCCAGCATGGAACAATTTAGCGATCGAGGAGCTGCCGATCGTTCCAGGTTGAACGACCCACGCGGTGTCAAAGACCATCGCAGGGGGTCGTCGCGACACGAAGCCCACTGTAGTCTCCGCCCCCCGCGGCCCTCGAAAGTCGCGCAGCCCAAAGGTCACTCCCGCCCATGGGTCACTCTTCGCATGCAGCCGAGGCTGTGGCGGACGTCGGTGGACACGATGTCGTCGGCGTCGACCGGCCGCGACTCGGTCCCGGCCGGGCCGCCAGCGCGGGTGTTCAGCAGCTTGTCCCCGCCGGCTGCGGGCAGCCCTCCGGCCGGGAGGCTGCGCCCGAATCGCCCGAGCCAGATGTCCCGCTACAGTCAAAAGTCCGCCCGGTACCTGAGCCCGCCCAACGGCTTCCAGCGCCTTAGGACTCGGCCCCACCGTACACTGCCTCTCTCCGCTCCGCCTCCAGTGCTATCGTTCGGTGCTGCTCCGTGGGCGATTTGGCTCGAAGAGTACATAGGGGGCGAAACGCGTGGCCTCTGCCTCTGCTCTTTTCTCTTGAGACTCGATCCGAAGCAAGTTTTCAGAGGAGGGAGCAATTACCGATGCCGCTGCTCGTCCTGGAGAGCCCTCGCCGCCACGGCTGGATTCTCCCCGACGTCCTCGTCAGAACGCACCTCGGGAGAGTTCTTTGGGCTCAGCGAAGAGGAAGTGACAGAGATAGGAAATCGAAGAAGAAAGGACGCCACACACATAAACTCTCGAAGTTCCGCGCGGATTTCCGGGATCTGCGCTGGGCGCCGCTGGCGGCGCCTCCAGCGCCGCCATTGGCGCGCTCCACGCGCCAGGGAGGATGTGCCGGCGCCGATCCGAAATCCGCGCGGAACTCCGAAAGTTCTTGTTTATGGCGCTGCTCCTTCCTCAAAGTCCACGGGAGGGAACGATACCGACGTCGCGGCTCGTCCTGGAGCGCCCTCGCCGCCGCGGTTGAACTCTGATCGAAATCAGGAACAGAACGCACCCCAGGAAAGTTCTGAGGACTCAGCGAGGAGAAAGGTATAAGGCGAAGAGTCGAAGGAGACTCACCTCAAGTCGGGCACGTCCCTCAACAGGAGGAATGTTCAAAAACGGACAAATAATATTCGAGGAAGCCGAACCGCCGTAAGCAGAACCTTTCGGAGGTCCGCGCGGGTTCGCGGGCTGATCAGCGCCGGGCCGCCCCGCTGGCGGCGCCTCCGGCGCCGCCTCGGGCGCGATCCACGCGCCAGGGAGTGGGTTCCAGCACCGATCCGAGAAGTCCGCGCGGACCTCCGAAGGTTCATGTTCATGGCGCTCCTGTCTCCCTCCTCCGAAGACATACCAACACCACTGCTCGTCCCGGATGGTTCTCGTCGCCACGGTTGGATTCTTCCCGAAGCTCTGGCCAGAGCGCCACCCCAGGAAAGCCAAGAGAGGAAAAGCCACCAGGACCCGAAAAGTGGCGTTTCCTAAACGGCCCCGGGCGTTTACTGAGCAGCCCTGCCCTGTTCGATCCCTTCTCTGGGTGCGCTTGCTAAACGGCCTCGCGTGTCGGGGTGGTTATCATCGGGGTGGATGTTTCTGCCTTCTCCGCCTCCTCCTCCTCCTCCTCCTCCCTCCTCCTCCTCCTCCTCCTCCTCCTCCTCCTCCTCCTCCTCCTCCCTCCTCCTCCTCCTCCTCCCCCCTCCCCCTCCCCCTCCCTCCTCCTCCTCCTCCTCCTCCTTCCTCCTCCTCCTCCTCCTCCTCCTCCTCCTCCCTCCTCCTCCTCCTCCTCCTCCTCCTCCTCCTCCTCCTCCTCCCTTCCTCCTCTCCTCCTCCTCCTCCTCTCTCCTCCTCCTCCTCCTCCTCCTCTCCTCCTCCTCCTCCTCCTCCTCCCTCCTCCCCCTCCCTCCTCCTCCTCCTCCTCCTCCTCCTCCTCCCCCCTCCTCCTCCCCCTCCCTCCTCCCCCTCCCCCTCCCCTCCTCCTCCGCCTCCTCCTCCTCCTCGTATCCTTCTCCTCCTCCTCCCCTCCTCCTCCTCCTCCTCCTCCTCCTCCTCCTCCTCCTCCTCCTCCTCCTCCTCCTCCCCTTTTTTTGTTGGCAGCAACGCACATTTCCCTGAACAGTGAACTGCAAAAACAGCCAGAGGAGAGCTGATGAAACAGAATGCATTCACCTGTAATTATAACAGTGGGATGAATTCATCAATGACAACATATACACCCTTCTTATCATGGTGCTGGCCTTTACGGAGCTTGCGAATATTCTTCAAGCCAGCTTCCGTCGGGTGCCCACATTTACGTCCCAGGCCGATAACTTGACCTCCACTGCTATAAAACTTGCACGACACGCACAAAAACAGGTGACTCTTGTCACTGCAGGGAAACGCAATGACACGGTATCCCTTGGACTCCAGGACCCCTTGATCCAGAGGGCAGGTCCCAGGGCAACCACCGCCAATCGGTTTGGACACAGCACGGGATCCACGAAGGCACGCTCTACAACGCCAAGTGTTTCCCTGCTTGGTCCAGTTGTGGCACACTTCGAGCGAGGGAGCATCCGAGGTCTGGGGCCGAGGGGCACGCTCTAGGCCTCGGAACTCAAGCTTAGGCCACAACGGCAGGAGTTCAGCTCCTGCCAACAAGACAAGACGCGCAATCTTCAAACGTCTCTGCAGGTCTTCCTCTTCAGAGGGGGACCAGCTGGGGTGTATCAGCACAGCTTCCTTGGCCGCGATATCGGCGTAGTGGTTCCCAAGACGCAAGAACCTCTCTCGCGAGCTGAGCCCCCCTCCTCCTCCAGGAGAGGTCTGGGGAGCAGCGGTGGCCTGGCCTCAATCGGAATGGCCCAGGATAGAACGATTAGAAATGAAAGGATCTTGGCCCCCCAAAAAAATCAATGGACTTTTGAAGAATTAGGAATGAACAGTGTAAGGCTCGAATATGCCAGAACTCGGGTCTGCCGACGTTCTTTGACGAGCGCGTCCTGGATTTTGACGGTCCAGTTTTCGTTGGATGCTTGCAGCGGGAGTTCGCGTCAAATTTCAGATTGGGCCTCGTCATTTCTATGATGGCCCCGTCAGGCCAACCCGAGTCCCCCGTACCCGAGTCTTGCGTCCCCCCGAACTTTTCACACCCCAGCAGCGGCATCTCTTTCTGGAAGTCCCGAACCGATGCAGCGACCATGTTGCCGAGTGGGTCAGGGGAGATTCGGGGTGATTGCATGGTTTTGGGCTTTTCGGGGGTGGACAGAACCCCCACCCTGACACGTCGATTAGTGAATTGTCCATTTTCGGTTATCGAGAGGGCGCCGCGGCCGTCATTTTCCAGGCTTGCGCCCGCCAGGTTTGGGCCCGAGGCCGTTTTCACTAAACCTCGTCTTACTAAAGGGGGTTCTGTCCATCCCCGAGCTTTGAGTCGTTCTGAGGGGACGTCTCGGGCGATCGGGCCTCCAAGGTCCCTGAAGTCGTACGGTGACTGACCCTGCGGTGAAGTGTTTGGGAATTTCGGGGTCACCGCACGGTCTGTCACCGCACCGTTCTGTGACCCACACCGTTTTGTTCTTGGCATCGTTCGGACGTGTGCTGTTTTCCCCTCGGCGAGGATCATCGAGGAGCATCCTTGATCATTTGGCGAAAGAACCACGCACGAAACCGAAAAAAACACAGGGAATGGACGTCCCAGCCATGGCCAGTGCGTGCCCAAGGACGAGCGCCTTCCCCGACGCGAAGACGCTCCAGGAGACCGCCGAGAAGGTGGTGTGGCAGGGCGAGTACGACGTCGCGGAGCTGTACCACGACGAGGGGACGGCCCAGTGGCTCGCGCGGCACCCCGTCTTCACCGGCACGCAGATCATCGTGGTGTTCTTGAACGCCGTCTGGATAGGGTTCGAGACCGACTACAACGACAAGGAGGTGTTGTACGAGGCCGACGTGGGCTTCGTCCTGATGGAGAATATGTTCTGCCTGTTCTTCCTGTGGGAGTGGCTCGTCCGGCTCTGCGCTTTCCGGCGCAAGGTCCAGTGCATCGGCGACTTCTGGTTTGTATTCGATACGATTCTTCTGGTCACGATGGTGCTGGAGACGTGGATTTTGTTCATTGTGTCTGCGGTGTCCCATGGAGGCTCTGGTAGTTTACCAACGAACCTTCTCCGAGTGGTGAGGCTTGCACGGCTCACACGCTCGGTACGTATCGCACGGTTTCTTCGCAGCATCCCTGAGCTTGCCGTGATCATGAGAGGGATATTGGTCGTCATGCGGACTGTGTTCCTCATATTGATCCTCTTGACAAGCCTCCTCTATGTCTTTAGCATACTGTTCGTGCAGGTCGCCCGGGACACGGCGCTGAACGAGAAGGGGGCCTACAGAGACGTGCCGTCGGCTATGATGTCGTTGGTTCTGAGTGGTTTGATCCCTGACATGGCTCCCGCGACGTACGCCTTCGCCAAGGAGCATGTTCTTTACGCTGCATTGTTCATGGTATTCGTCTTTCTCGGTTTCGTCACAATCCAGCTGCCTGCGGCAAGTCCGGCCACCGTGCCAGCTAAGCATGCTGGGTTGCGATTGTTCGAGGGGGCACGGGAGGCCGTCGCGTGTGACAACTCGTGTCTGCAGTCTTGGGAGAGCCGTGATAACGATGATGAGGATGATTGGTAATGATGCTGATGATCGGTGATGATTATGATGGTGATGATGATGATGATGATGATGATGATGATGATGATGATGATGATAATGATGAGGATGTGGATGTGGATGAGGATGAGAATGGTGGTGTTGATGGTAATGAGGATGGTGGTGGTGATGGCAATGGTGATTGTAATAATGATGCTGATGACGATGGTGATGGTGACGGTAATGATGATGGTGATGGTGATGACGATGGTGTTGATGAGGATGCTGGTGATGGTGATGATGTTGATGCTGATGATAATGATGGTCACGATGCTGCTGATGACGATGATGATGATAATGATGACGACGATGATGATGACGATGCTGATGGAAATGACAATCGCGATGGTGATGATGTTGATGACGATGAGTAGGATGATGATTGGGGTAATGGTGATTGATGATGATGATGATGATGATGATGATGATGATGATGATGATGATGATGATGGGGATGGGAATGGGGATGGGGATGGGGATTGGGATGGGGATGGTGATGGCGATGGTGACGATGATGGTGATGGTGATGGCGGTCATGATTGTGATGATGATGATGACGACGATGATGCTGATGATGATGATGATAGTGGTCGTGGTTATGAGAATTAAGATGAGTGTGAAGATGAGGATGAGGATGCTGAGGATGAGGAGGAGGGGGATGATGCTGCTGGTGATGCTGATGATGCTGATGCTAAGTCTGATGCTAATGCTGATGATGCTGATTATGATGCTGGTGCTGATGATGATGCTGATGATGACGATGATGGTGATGCTGGTGGTGGTGATGGTGATGGTCATGGTGGTGGTGGTGATGATAATGATGATGGTGATGATGGTGATGGCGATGATGATGATGCTGATCATGATGAATATGATGGATCTGGTGATCATGATGATGATGACGATGACGATGACGATGATGATGACGACGATGACGATGACGATGACGATGACGATGACGATGACGATGATGATGGTGATGATGCTGATGATGATGATGATGATGATGATGATGAAACCTGTTTGGGCAGTCTTGGAGCTGTCTTGGCCTCATGGGAGGCAGTCTTTGGGGTCCATTGGGGTCCTCTTACGCAGGCTTGGGGTTCTCTTGGGTCGTCTTCGGGCCTTCTTGGCCGTTTGGCGGGTGTTTGGGGGCCGTCTTGGCGCCGTCTTGGGCCGTCCGAGGGCCTTCTAGGGCCGTCGTGGATGCCTATTATTGGGCCGTCGTGGAGTCCCTTTGGGCCGTCTTGAGTTCGCGGCAGCCCGAAAAGGCGAGAATGCGGAAATCATTCCAAAAAATGTATGGGCCGATTTCGAGGCATCTTGGGCCGTCTTCGAGGCATTCTGGGCCAGTTTGGTATCCTTGGTTGCTTGCACTGGACGGCTTGGAAGCTCGGGACGCAGATCCATCGTTCTTAACAGAAAATAATGGCCTGGAAGGCCATGGAGCGCTTGGGAGCAGCGCCTGGGAATGCGGGACGCGCATGATTCTCAAGCGGGTGCGCATTGGATGATGGGTCTAGGAGGTAGCAGCCATGCGGGAAGTGCGCAATCCTCGAGCGCGCGCGCGTGGAATGAGGGCTCAGGCATTAGCTGCCATGCGGAAAGTGCACCATACTGGAGCGGGCACGCGCGGAAGGGTACTTCAGGCATTAGTTGCCATCCGGTAAGTGCACCATCCTCGAGCGGGCTCGCATGGCAGGGGGAGTTGAGCATTAGCTGCCATGCGAGGAGTGCACCATCCCCGAGCGGGCATGCATAGAATGAGGGTTTAGGCATTAGTTGCCATGCGGGAAGTGCACCAGCTTCGAGCGGGCACGCGTGGAAGGGGCAGTCAGGCAGTAGCTGCCATGCGGGAAGTGTACCATCCTCGAGCGGGCACGCGTGGAAGGGGGGTTCAGGCATTAGTTGTCATGCGGTAGGCGCACTATCTCCGAGCGGGTTCGCGTGGAAGGGAGAGTGATGCATTCGTTGCCATGCTGGAGGTGCACCATTCTCGAGCGGGCACAAGAGAAGTGGCCTCGGAAGGGAGGGGCGATGCATGCGGCAGTTTGCGGGTAGTGGGACGGGGGATCTGTTTAGAAACCCTACCAGACAGGAATGAGTATTCTTCCACGCCTCAACGTGTTAGGGGGCATGGTGGCGGATCATGAATATGTTGATCGGAGTTTTGGTACAAGTTGTTTCAGTCGTCGCCACAGTGGAAGCGGAGACGAATCAGTTGACCGATGTGAAAAGCGTTCTCTTGGGTAACCACCTTGATTTGAAAGAAGACGACACGATCCAATGGCGCTGCCGCGCACATCCTCCCCCGCGCAATGCAGCGTGGCATTGCTATTGCGCCGCCTCTCGGCATTATCTGGTGGGCTTCTCGGTGGCCTCTTGAGGAGTCTGGGGCGTGTCGTTGGGGTCCTGTCACCGTGGAGCCCTTCTCGGGGCTACCAGGGGAGTCTGGGAGACCGTCTGGGGAAGTCTCGGTGCCGTCTTGCGCCGCTCTTGAGCCGTTTTGTGGCGTCCAGGGGCAATATTGGGCCCTTCCTTGGGCCCTCTGGGAAGGCGCCTCATAGGCCACGGGGGCACCGCTTGGGGAAGGCCATCTGAGGGCTTCTGCAAGCTTGACACGCGCAGAAGGCATTCGTAAACCCCACAATGCCTTTCAGGGATGGTGGTGGTGGCGTAAATGTCTTCTGCGGTGGTAGCACGCTTTGTTTGGGTTTGCGCCTGGGTTTCCAGGGTTCTCGGGGAGGGCGGGCGTATTAGAAACTGCCCGGGGTTGTCGGGCTGTTTTGGGGGGCGCCAGGCGATCAGACGATGATTGACGGCCGTCATCCTGTGGCGCCCTGTGGCATTCCGAGGAAGGTCACGAAGCGGTCATGCGCCAGTCTTGCGCCATGTGGTTTCGTTCTGGGCGGGCCACGAGAGAGAGCAGCTAGGAGAGCTCGGGGGCCGCCCACGAGAGGGCATCTTAGGCTCCACCATGAACCTTGCCTTGTGCTGTGCTTGAGCTTGGAAAACACGCATCTCGAGGACACCAGGCCAAAGGACGCATGCTGGCATCGACGCGGTGGGTAGGCCTCATTCACGTTCCCCCAGGGGGGCACACTGCTAACCAACTAGCCAGGTTCAGCCCAGCGAGGAAGCCCAGCGGAAGGTCATGGGCACGACACACACACACACACACACACACATACATACATACACACCGCAGCGCAGCGACAGGGCGGAGAAAGTCTTGGAACAGCAACCCCGCGCGCGCGCGCGTCTAGCAACGCCCCAGCCCTCAGAGACCGGCAAGGGTCTCGCAGCAGCCGCCGCCAGAAGTCATCCGGGCATGGATGACGAGGGGGCCCGTAGTGAACGTGGCTACAGCGGTGCGGGTTCCGTAAGCCATCCCGGAGGAAGACGGGGGGAGTGAATAAGCAGGGTGGAGCGACACGGAGACGAAGACCGACCTGAAGCCCAGACGAGCGAGGGGCAGAGGCCAGGGACGAGAATGCGCCAGAGCCGCAAAGGTCGCAGGCGACAAGGCCGCGACGCTAGCAGGCCGAATGGCACGCCCCACAATCACACACACACACACACACTTTCCGTCGGCGGTTAGGCAGAGTCACTTCGCTGGCGGTAGGGCGTTGGTGTGTGCACGAAACGCGAATCAAGCCACCATGCAGAGGGGGGGAGAGAGGAGGCGCCTGGCGGCAGCGGGAGGGAGGGGGAAGCCAGGCCCGCTCAGAGCGGGGCCAGGCGCGCGGCGGGGGCGGCGCTGGGGGGCGGGGGCCAGCGGCGGCGGGCCGGCGGCCGGGGAGCGGGGGGGCGCCGAGGCTGGCTGCAAGGCAGCGGGCCAAAGCGAGGAGCCAGTGCCACAAACACACACACACACACACACACACGCACACACACACACACACACACACACACACACACACACACACACACACACACGCACACACACACACACACACACACACGCACACACACACACACACACACACACACGCACGCACGCACGCACGCACGCACACACACACACACACACACACACACACACACACACGCACGCACGCACGCACGCACGCACGCACGAACGCACGCACGCACGCACGCACGCACGCACACACACACACACACACACACACACACACACACACACACACACACGCCGCCGCAAGGCGCGGTGGCGGATTTCGATGCACCAGATCAATCTTCTGCTTGGGGATGAGGCCATTGCCGCCGGGCTTGGCGAGCTTTCCATTGACACAGAAGCCCTGATGAACCACAGTCAGGTCGTTTTCTGTGGCAGGGAGGACATCACGATGTACGACTTCTGGCAGCTGGCCGTGCAGCACCGGGGCGGCAACGTCGCAAAGGTGAAGGATCTCGTGAACATCCGGCAGTTCATATACTCAGAGTTGGCCAGCCTCGGCAGCCAGGTTGCACGGCTGAACGAGATCAACGCGCAGGTTCCGCCGGGCCGCCGGGCACAGCTCGTGGCGCCCCAGACCAGTGGCTAAACCGAGGCGCTCGGCCCGCTGGCCCACCCGGCAGCTCTTCTGAGGAGGCATGCGCTGGATCCTCTGTGTGTCCTTTGCGTGGCCTGTCAGCCTTGTACTCGAAGGACAGAACAAATGCATAGACATCATTTCTCGGAGCTCCGCGCTGGATCTCTTGGATCGGCGTTGGGCCACCCCTGGCGGCGCCTCCAGCGCCGCCCCTGGCGCGCTCCGCGCGCCAGGGGAGGGTGGCCCAGCGCCGATCCGAGAAGTCTGCGCGGAGCTCCGACCACTTCCCGAAGGGAGCGATCTGCACAACACACGGAGCATGATTTTCATGTAGGAAAGGAATCCTTGAAAATGGAGGGGAAGAGGAACATCTGGGAAATATATCAAAATCTACTTGGATAAAAGCCTTGGAAGTTGTTTGATTCTGTGTGGGTCCCCCTGGGCCCCTTGAAAATCATGGTCATGTCGTTTTCTGTCCCTCGAGCTGCGTGGAGTCTGGCAGCCCCTCCGTCTGGGAGAGCCGGCTGCGCGCTATGTGCAGGAGAAGGCAGAGCGGGTGGGGTGTTGGAATTGATGGGCCTGTTTGCCACCACCACCACCACCACCACCACCATATGTTGGAGGGGGAGGGTCCTCCTCCTCCTCCTCCTCCTCCTCCTCCTCCTCCTCCTCCTCTTCGTCCTCCCCCTCCTCGTCCTCCACCTCCTTCCCCCCTCCAACTTGTGGTGGCGGTGGTGGAGAACAGGCCCATCGGGAAGACATCACGCCTGGCCTTCCAAAACGGCTCCGACATCTTCGAAGAAGCCACCTCCGCGACGCAGAGAAGCGGGGTCGTCTTCGCCGACACTCGCGCGCAAGCTGCCCGCGTAAGGTCGCGCGTGAGCTCCCTCGTTCCCCGCGCGGGGTGCCGCACGGGCGGCCCGCGCGAGCCGCGGCGGAAGGTCGCCGTGCCACCTCGCGCACGGCCCGTTGCTTTTCGTCGCTTGCTTGCCCTTTTACTCTCGCATCGGCGGGCCGCCCACAGGAATACTGCCAGAATGTCCGCCCCGTCTTCATCCTCTTCCTGCTGCTACTTTCCACATTGCCTCCTGGCTTAGGGGCTGATCGCTGGCCCAGGCTGCGCTCACAGGTGGTGATCAGGCAGACTCGGGCGTGGCGCCCGAGCCCCAGACACTTCAGCACGATCTGATATCCGAACTCTCTCAGCATCGTTGATCCGATCCCCATCCCCGATCCCCATCCCCTTCGAGACCCCCACCAAATTACCACCCCAGTTGGGGATGCACCCCTCGAAACCCGAAGGGAACGACCTATATCCCCATCCAGGGGGGTAAATCGGCCAGTGGGGCACAGGCCACGCCGCTGGGGATGGGGATCGGATAAACGATACTCGCTCTCGCCACTCTGAGAAGGCGGGGCGGGGAGGGGGGCGGCGGGGGAAATCTCCCACCTCTTCGAGGAAGTAAGAGCGGCGTAGGCAAACATTTTCGGAGCTCCGCGCGGATTGCTCGGATCGGCGTTGGGACCCCTCCCTGGCGCGCGGGGAGCGCCAGTGGCGGCGCCGGAGGCGCCGCCATCGGGCCCCAGCGCCGATCCAAGAAATCCGGGCGGAGCTCCGAAAGGTTATGCTTATGCCATGCTGTCTTCCTCCTGCCCTGTCTTCCATCACGGCCCCGACCTCTTCGAAGCAGCCCAGGGTTGGAGGGGGGGGGAAAGGGGGAAAGGATAGGGGAGGTGATAGAGGGAGGGGTGGAAGGGCCAACCTCGCGAAACGCTTCCTCCAGATCCAGGGGGAAGGGGGAGGGGGAGGGGGAACCTCCTTCCCAGAGGGAAAGAGGGGGGTCTGCCCCCCCTCGCGCTGCCCCCCCTCCCTCGTCCTCCTCCTCCCTCCTCCTCCTCCTCCTCCTCCTCCTCCTCCTCCTCCTCCTCCTCCTCCTCCTCCTCCTCCTCCTCCTCCTCCTCCTCCTCCTCCTCCTCCTCTCCTCCTCCCCTCCTCCTCCCCTCTCCTCCTCCTCCTCCTCCTCCTCCTCCTCCTCCTCCTCCTCCTCCTCCTCCTCCTCCTCCTCCTCCTCCTCCTCCTCTCCTCCTCCTTCCTCCTCCTCCTCCTCCTCCTCCTCCTCCTCCTCCCCCCCCTGACCCCCCGCCCTGCCCCCCTCGCCCTGCCCCGGCCCGCCGCGACCCCCCCCCTCCCGCCCTGCCCCCCCCCCGCCTCGCGGCACACCGCCCCGCTGGCGGAGCGCCCCTCCTGAAGAGGACCAGGAGGAAGGCTCGCCTCTCCTTCATTGGCGGTTCGACGAGGGGGTCCTGAGTCGGACGGGGCCCTCGGAGGCCCTCGGAGGCCCTCGGGAGGCCCTCGGGTGGCCCTCGGAGACCCTCGGAGACCCTCGGAGGCCCTCGGAGGCCTTCGGGAGGCCCGGACCGTCGGGGACCACCGGGGGTCGGCCGGGGCTGGGAGGAGGCGAAATGCGTTCCAGAGCGTTCCGGAACGCTCTCGGAGCATTCCGGAACGGTCCGAGAAAACCGCGGCGCCCGAGACATCCTCCAGAACAGCCGGATCTCAGAGATTTTCGATTTATCCTCACCCGATTGTATCTTCGTCCTGCCTTCGTCTTATTGAGGGATGGGGCCCTAAGAATGGGAGAGTGGTCCTAAGCTGAACCCTCATTGCTTGAGGCCACTCGCGCTTCAGTGGCTGCAGGAAGAAAGGCATAAGCATAAACGTTCGGAGCTCCGCGGGTCTCTTGGATCCGCGCCGGGCCCCGCTGGCGGCGCCCATGGCGCGATCCGCGCATCAGGGGAGGGTGTCCAGCGCAAATCCAAAGAAATCGCGCGGACCTCCAAAAGTTCATGTTTATGCAGTGTTTCTACCCCCACTTCGGGCCCCATCCCTCGGGACCCCATCTTTGAACCGCCGACTTGAGCTGCCGCGGTGCAGTCTGCCTTGAGCCACCGCGGCCTGTCCTGCGAAGCAGGGGGTGCGTGCGAGCAGTCATTTTTCCCAGCCCAGTGGGCTGATTCAGGGACCTTCCCTCTTTTAATGCGCGGTGCGTAGATTGATAACTAGCGATGTTTTGGTCCATCACCGGACGCGATTCGGCACGGGCTTGACTGAAAGCCATAAGTTTTGATGTTTTCCTAGTCCGCGGTGGTTGGCATTGCTTGCGAGGCGTTCTCCCTGTGCCTGCTGCTCCTCCTGCTCCTCCTCTCCCTCCTCCTCGTCCTCCTCCTCCTCCTCCTCCTCCTCCTCCTCCTCCTCCTCCTCCTCTTCCTCCTCTTCCTCCTCCTCCTTTTCCCCCTCCTCCTTCTCCTCCTCCTCCTCCTCCTCCTCCTCCTCCTCCTCCTTCTCCCTTTCTCCCTCACACACTCCTTCCCTCGCATTCCCGCCCCCTCGCCCCCTCCTTCCCCCACCCCACCCCTTGAAAGAGGCGTCGTCCACAGAGGGCATCTACACACCGCCGTCCTTCCTGGCCAAGCATGCTGGTCGTATGTGGGTGCCTCCTGCTTTTGTTGAGGAGGACACAGTCAAAACGCTGGGATCAGGACCACTTCGGGCTCAGGAGGGGCTCTCTGGTTTTCGGGCCGCTCCTTATTGCTAGGTCGGTGACCCTGCTCGTAGCCGAGGCTCGCCGTGGCCAGAACAGCCCCTTCGTTCCTCACTCTGCGCTCCTCGTGGCAGCACGATGGTTGTATGCCGAGGAGGATGGAGAGGGACGGAGGGGCATCCTCCACCATGCTGCCCAGACGTGGCTGGACCGCGCGGCCGCTCGCGCAAGCGGCGAGGCCGCGGGCCTGGCTGCGGCGTTGCCCTGTCGAGGGGGACGGCGCGGGGCAACGCGGCGGTGACCACGGCGCCTGCTACGATCCGCAACCACACAGAGAGGGGGAGAGAGAGAGAGAGGTACATCTGGGAGCAAATGACAAAACTAAACAAAAACAACATAAGCAAGAACTAAAAACGTAGAGAACATGTGGTGCTTGTTCGCGGGAGGAGGGAGGAGGAAGAGGAGGAGAAGGAGGAGCAGCGGCGACTTGCGGCTTAGCGACGGCGGCGCTGCTTTCGGGTTGGCCACGGCGCGGGCGTCTGCTGCTTTTCACGCGGGATGGCGCCACCATTTTTTGGCGGCAGTGCGCTGGGGCTCCCTTGTACACACAGCAGGGCTTACGCGCAGCTTTCCCCGGGCACGCGGCGGAACTGGCGAAGGCGGAAGCCGACCTGACGGCCCAGGCACCCGAGTTGGTCGGCGACGTGAAATTGGACTTCACCGCCGAACCCAACAAGCGCATGCAGAGGATGATCATGGACGCCGCGAACTTCCGACTGCGCGGGCCCACCTTCGACGTCGTCCAGGGACCGGACCGTGTTGGGCGCGGCTGCGTCAAGCAGGCGGCACCAGAGCACGCATCTTCTCGCGCGTGCCCCAACCCAGCAACCAGGCCATCGCAGACGGAGCTTGGCGCATGGCTGCGCAGGCGCCTATTGTGCGCGGTCGAGAAGACCATCGATCCAGCGCACGCGGAAACGGATTGCTATCACTTTGGTTTTCGGGGTGCCTGCGGGGCGCAGCTGGATGGCCTTGAGGACCTCGCACAAGCAAAGGAGTGCAAGATCGGCGGCGCGGTTACCGGGGGCCAGAACAAGATCCGTGACATCTTGTGGCGTTTTCTCAAGACGCACATCGACCCTCGCGCGTTCCGTGAGCAGCGGCTGGAAAGCTTGCGGGCGCATGCCCTGGCGGACGCGACGGCGAACAACGAGGCTGGCGACGTGTTGGACGTCGCGTTCAATTACGGTGACAGACGCGTGGCCGCTGACGCCGTGAGTAGGTGGGTGCCTGCAATGACTTGCCCCAGGTCCGACCAGCGGCCAGACGGGACGAAGCCGCAGCGGCGGAGGGTAAGAGGGCTGGGCGGCGGCGCTACGCGGGGTTCGACATCTCCCCACGCGCGCTTGAGCTGGAGGGCCGCCCGAGCGAGAGGGCGCATGTGACCGTCCGCACGCTGGCCGTCACAGCAGGCGGCGAGTCGCGAGCTTTCGCGCTGGCGGCTGGCCTCTGGCAACACGTCTGCCTCGCTGCGCAGGCCTCTGGCGCCCAGCGCATCGCGAATGCCCATGTCCGCCAGAAGTTGTTTTCCAAGGCAGGATCCAGGCGAGGCCCGCGGCGGAAGTGCCCGGCCCAAGGGCGGAGGGGGAGGAGGAGAAGGAGGAAGAGGAAGGGGGGGAGGAGGAAGAAGAAGAGGAGGAGGAGGAGGAATCGGCGGAAGAAGAGGAGGAGGAGGAGGAGGAGGAGGAGGAGGAGGAGGAGGAGGAGGAGTGGGAGAGCCGAGGAGGAGGAGGTAGAGGAGGTGACGGGCGATTGAGGCGGAGAGGCAGCGAGGCCAGCAGAGTGGCGACGACGACTGGATTGCAGCTGGGCCGCAGGCACCAGACGGCGACAGCGGCGAAGAGCGAGGAGGAGGAGGAGGAGGAAAAATCCGAAGAAGAGGCCGAGGGCGAGGAGAAATCAAAGAGGAGGAGGAGGAGGAGGCGGAGGAGGAAGTGAGACAGAGACAGGCGACCAGGCCAGGCGACGACGAAAGCGGCCGGGCCTCGCAGGTGAGGCGGACAGGAGGAGATGGCGGCGCGGCGGCGGCGGTGGAGGCGGAGGCGGTTGAGCAGGCGGCCCAAAGAGCTCGCTGGGCGGACGTCGCGGTGGACATCGTCATTGTCGCGGTCTCCGCCGCGGTCCTTGGCAACTGTAGACTATAGGCCCCGGGTGGCGCACCCCCCCTCCGCTAGGGGCGGCCGCCGCCGAGCGGCGGACCGTTCCCGGGGTTGGGCAACGGCGCCGGCCCCCGAGCAAAGTGCTCGAGCGGATGCGAGTCCGCAGCGCAGGAGCCGAAGGAGCAGGAGGAGGATCGAGGATCAAGACCATTGGGGCGATTTCGCCATTGTCCTGGTCTGCGGGGAGAACTCCAACGACCTTCAGACGGGACGTGCACGGGGCAAGATCTGGCCCATTGAGGGTGGGGCGACTCTGGGGCGCACCCTGGCATTAGAGGTTTTGCTGTTTCTCCTTCCGTGCTCCCATTGTGTGTCTTGCGATTCCTGATACAGGGCCTAAATGCCCTCGGGCGCATCCTCTAAGATTCGCACTGCAGGTGCCATTTCCTCCACTGAAGTGCGTTGCGCTTCGTCGGTCACAAAATGTGGCCCATCCGACCCACGAGTTGCCAGCTTGGCCGTCCGAAGTGGCGCGTGACCGCGCGCCGCCCTCACGCGGAGAATGACAGCAAAAGCTGATCCAAGGACGAAGGCATGTCCATGAGAGCGGCGACGCTGATTAAAAAGACAAAATGCGCCAGGAATGCGTTTTAGGTAAAAGGCCCAGCGTATTGCCCACCAGGTACCAGGAAAAGCAAACCGATGTGCTTGGTATCAAATCACGTGTTCGATGTGTCCGCGGTTCTGCGCAACATATCAGCATCTGGTACTGCACATGGGGGTCCATGGAGAACATCCAATATGGTAGACATCTGGCGTTCCAGCTCCATGAAAACATACCCGGCTGTGCAAGTTCGTTCGCTTGCGGCCGCGGCGAATGATATCCGAGGTCATGAAAACGCAATGCTTGACCGTTCAAGATATCCAGAAAGCCCTCCAATGTATACATCATATGCGTTGGGGGGGGTGTTCTAGCTGGCATTCCGCTTGAAACTACCACGCGGCCCCCTAATATTCACTTCGAAAAGCAATGTTCGAAACCTCCATCAAGCGACCAAACTATTGTGAAGCGTATATATATATATATAGATATGTCGTTCTTTGAAGTTGTTTGTGCCTCGCCTCTTTTGAGCACGACCGTCTGAATACTTGTGCTCAAGTTTTTCGGCAGGAGCCACGATCGCGCATGCCCGCTCTCGTGGATTTGGTCGGCATCGGCGCGCGCCTCGCCGAGCTCTGGCTGCTGCGAGGGCCCGCCTGCCCGGCCTGCCCGCCGCGCCCGTCGCACGCCTGCGCGCTGACGCGCAGCGGGCCCGCGACAAGCCTCACCGAGTCCTTCGACGAGCGCCTGCCCGCTGGCGGGCCGGGGTGGCTGGCACTGGGGCTAGCCGCAGCGCTGGGGGCCGCGCTGACGTGGGCTGTGGGCCAGTGGACGTCACCGGTGATCACCCCGCGGCCCGAGCCGAAGCCGCTGGCGCCGCCGCCGGCCGCCGCGCCGTCCGCCACAGGGCCCGCGACCCCGAGCCAGCGCGCCCAGCGGGTGCGACGGCGCCATGGCGCGCGTCACTCTCGACCTGCCCGAGCCGCAGGTGCTGGTGGACTACCCGGACGACGCGGCGGAGCTGAGGTGGCATCACAGGCTGCACCTGGTCCAGACCCCCACCGCGGGCGCGTGGATCGCCAGCACCCCCGACTACTCGGTTCAGAGGCTCGACTTGAACACACACCGCGTGTTGGCGCTTGGGCGCAACTGCGCCTTCCCCGCCGCTCAGTGGAACGAGAGCTACGTCTTCGACAACCCTGCGCCGGCCGCCCACTTGACGCGGATTCGGCAGCAGGTGGCCTCGCTCGGTCTTGTACTCGGGCAGGCCGCCCCAGCAGCCCCAGCCGTCGGAGGTGGCGCTGGTGTTTGGAGAGTCGCCGATCCCTCGGCTCGCAGCTTCGGGGACGAGGTGCCGAATCAGATCATCTCAGACCCCGCCTCCTTCATCACGCCAGGTGCTCCTGGCGACGAGGACTACCTCAGCGGCTTGGTGCTGATCGACAATTGCTGGACCTTCTGCCAGCTCGCCTCGGACACCGATAGGGGGGCTTGGGAGCGCGCGCTCGTATCGGGCCATAAGAGAGACGCGCGGATCACAGGTGATGTGAGGGATCCGGTCAGCGGCCAGCGCTTCACCTCGTTCGTCGAGTCGCTGGGCTTGCAGCACACCGCGCCCGAGCCGCCCTTTCCGTTGGGAGGCCAGAGGGCCACGCACGAGCACATGCGCACGCTGCGGGCAACCGGCATGGAGTGGGTCACCCACCACCTGGATTTCGTCCACAAGTCAGGCGTCTCCCCGAACAGTAACATTACGCGCTGCCACCGACGCCTCACCGACGCCCTGCGCGCCTTCCAGCAGCAGGACATGCTGAACCTGCCCAGCCTCGCTGGGGTCGAGGTCCTGGCGCGCCACCTGGTCCAGATCGAAATGGCGGTCGCCCGCAACCCTCGGAGCCCTGACTTCCAGGACCTCGACGCGGTGGTCGCCTCGACGGTCAACGAGTTTGGCGGCCTGGTCCTTCCCGAGTACTCGAAGTACATCGCGCAGATCCAGATGGACGAGGCCTTCACGTCGAAGCAGCAGCGGCAGCGGCGCGAGGAGCAGGTCTCTCGCAGCCGCGGCCGAGGCCCAGGCGGGTGGGAGGACGGCGGCGGCGGCGGCGGTGACGGAGACGGTGGAGGCAGTGGCCGCGGCCGAGGCCGCGGGCGTGGACGTGGCGGCGGACGTGGACGCAGCGGTCGGGCCGACGGCCCGGCCGCCGCGGAGGGATGACTCCTGTCGCGCGGGCTGCGGAGAGGCGGCGCTCACCCCGGCGTCGCTCGGCCAATGCACCCTCCGCAGTCCGCTTCTCAGGGGGCCGCGCGCGAGGCCCTGCTGCCGAGGGGGCCCCTCGCTTTTTGACTGGTCGCGCCCACGGCGACACATTCCCTCTGCCGCTGCTGGGCAGATCGACGCCAGCGGGAGCGCTGCCACTCGGGCTCTCGCGCGGCGTGCGGCGGCGGTGCAACCAGGCGATCATGGCGTTGAACGACCTGGACGCACCGCTGGCGGCTGCGCGGCGTCTCGCTTCGGTCCATCCTGCGAACGCCGCCCAAGCATCAATTGCGCAGCGCATTCATCAGCGAGTGGACACTTCCGGCGACCCCCGCGGCATGGACGGTGATGAGGCGCTCCTCTCCATTTTGAAAGCCAAGGACGTCTACAGCGGCAGGCCGACGCCAGTTCGACCTTGTGAGCCGCACCTCCTGAATATTCTCGACAGCGGCATCCGCCCGTTGCCCATACGCTCGCTGGTGCCCGACTCTATGCTCCCGCTCATCGACGAGCCTGAGAAGTTCATCTTCCGCTTCCAGTCGGTGCTTGATGGCATGGTCGAGTCTGGTGAGCTGCCGCCCGTCTACCCCTTCTGGGACGTCAACCTGCGGCGGGACCCTGCCCTGCGGCTCGACCTGTTTAAGAAGCTCATGCGCATTGGCCTCGTCGGAGTGCGTACGCGATGCCGCGCCCGCGCCAGCATCTTCTTCGTCGGCAAGAACGACGGTTCGCTGCGCATGGTCATCGACGGCCGCGAGCCCTCGAGCATGCACCGTCGCCCTCCGCGGACCGAGCTGGGCTCCGCCGCGGCCCTCAGTGGCCTCTGCCTCGACTCGGGCCAGCTGTGCGCCAGCGACGACGGCTACCACGGGGCCAGCGCGGACCTTCGCCAGGGCTTCTACCAGATGCAGCGGCTCGAGATCGGCAGCTGGTTCTGCTTCGACTTCCCGACGGCCATTCGCAACTTTGACACCGACTACGTCTACGACGAGGTGAGCCAGACCTACATACAGGTGGAGCCTGACACCATCGTGCACCCGTGCTTCCAGGGGCTCGCCATGGGCTGGAGCTGGTCGCTCCACATCTGCAACGGCATCACCGAGGACGCCACTCGCATCGGCATCAGTCAGGCCCTGCGCATCTCGCCCGACAGCGTCAGGATCGTCTCCGAGCGTGCCCCCAGCGCGCGGCTCGCCCCTGGCCAACTGGCTGGCTCCTCGTATGTCGACAACTCAAACGTCGTGGGCTCGCCTCGCAGTCTGGTCAGCGCGGCGCTCGAGGGCATCCTGCGCGAGTTTCAGAGGCGGGGACTCTCCTATCACGAGGTCTGCTACGCGACGCAGGACTTCGTGTGCTGCGGTGTGCGGTTCGACTTCACAGCAGGTCGGGCAGTCCCGCAACGCGAGCGTGGCTGGCGACTCCATCGGGCGGTGACGGCCCTGCTGGATCGTGGCGGCTGCACGCCGGGGGCTATGGAGGTTCTGATGGGCCACGTCGTGCACCACTTCATGCTCCTGAGGCCCGCCCTATCGGTCCTGAGCTCGCTGCATCGCATCGTGTACTCTTCCCACGACTACTGCAGGTTCGACGTCGAGCAACTGCGCGAGCTCAACCTCGTGAAGGCCTTGATCCCGCTAGCCGGCGTCGATCTCGGGGCGCCCTGGCATCCCTGGGCCTACTGCTCGGACGCCAGTCTTTGGGGCTACGCCGTGGCCACGTCCCGATTCGACCCAGACGAGCTGATGGACATCGGCGCGTACCGCGAGCGCTGGCGTTTCCTGGCCGTTGATCGCTACGCTGACGACCCTGGTGACCCTCCTGGCTTTGAGGTCGCCGTGCAGGCAGGCTTCGCCGCGGGCGCGGACGACGACGGCCTCTTCGCAGGCTCGGGGCGGCCGCCGCCGGGGCGAGGGGCCCCGCGGCGACGCCGCCCGGCCAGGATCGAGGTTGAGACAGCGGCTGCCGCTGCCGGCGGCGGCGCCATCCCGGCGTTGCCGGACTCGGCGCTCGCGGCGCACCGGTGGCAGCTCGTCGCGCGCGGCGCCTTCCTCTTCCCAGCCCCGATCCACGCGCTGGAGGGCCGGGCGACCCTCCTGGGGCTCAGGCGCGCCACTCGGTCGGCGGCCGCTCACGGATGCCGCGTCCTCTCCATAGGGGGCAATCTCTCATCCATGATGGCGTTCGAGAAGGGCAGATGTGCCAACCCAGTCCTGCGCCAGCTGGCCTGCCAGTCCGCAGCTCGGCAGCTCGCCACTGGAATCCAGCACTACCATCGCTACTCTGAGAGCAAGCGGAACCCCGCCGACCACGACTCCAGAGCGACGGACCGGTTCGAGTTGGCGCCAGGCCAGACGCAGCGAGGAGCAGCTCGCGACCTGCGCGCGGGGCCAGCCTGCCCGCCCAGTCGCCTCGCGTCGCCCGCCGTCGCGCAGGGCGAGCCGATGGTGCCGCCGCCGGCGCCGGCGCCGCCGCCCGCCCCGGGCCTGGCGCGCTCGCTCGCGCCGGCCGGGGCCGGGCCCCACCGCCTGCGGGCTCCGCCGCGCAGCCGGCGCCGCGCCCGGCGCGTCCTCGAGCTCTACGCCGGCTGCGCCCGCCTCACAGCGGCTTGCCTGGATGAGTGCCTTCAGTGCTGGGTCCCCGTCGACATCTCCAGAGGCGCGTGGCACGACTTGACCGACAAGAACGTGATACGTGTGATCCGATCTCTGACAGTGCGGCGGGAGGTGTGGCACGTCCACCTCGGCACCCCGCGCACGCCCTTCAGCCAGGCCACGCCCGCGCGGAGCCGGGCCAAGCATTTTGCCTCTGGTACTGGCTCTGTCTCGTTCACCGTCGACCTGCTTCGCTTATGTGTTCGATTTGGCGTAAAGTGGTCACTCGAGAATCCTGCATCGTCACGTCTTTGGCAGTGCTCAGAGGTCACAGCTTTCTTGGGACGTCATTGTCATTACTTCGTCAACGTGCATTACTGTCAATACAATTGCCGCTACCTGAAGCCCACTACCCTGGTCACCAACCTGAGGCCCCTCCAGGCCTTAAGTGCTAGTTGCACTCGAGATCATTTTCACGAGGTCCTCGCAGGCAAGGTTCGTCTGGGTCCTGGAAGGGGCTCCGCCTGGAAGACCGGTCTCGCTGGGCGTTATCCGGAGGCATTGGCTCGCAAGTGGGCTAGCATTCTACGATCCTGCGCGCCCGAAGCTGCATGTCTGGATGGTGCTCGGCCTGAATGCCGAGGGGAGGCTCGCCTGGCAGCCGCTGCCGGCTGCCGCGCCCGGGCGCCCAAGCCCGATCCTGTCTGCCCGCCCGCAGGCCACCAGGAGTGGCAGCCGGGCCAGCTCGACTGGGGCAGCAGCATCGCGCAGGCGCGTGCCGCCGAGCGCGACCGGCGCCGCCGGTTCGGCCAGGTGGGCTTCAGCGGCGGCGCCGAGCAGCTCGCGGCCGAGGCGCCCCCGCTCCGCCATCGGGCAGCAGAGGGTCGCTCGCAACGAGGTGGCCCGCAGCGACTTCCTGGCGCGCCGCCGGGCGAAGCCGCTGACGCAGCAGCACTACGGCCGCGCGGCCGCGGAGGCGAGGCGCTTCGCGGAGAGGCACCACTACCAGCAGAGCACGGCCGCGCAGAGGGGCCAGCTCATGGTGGACTACCTGCAGAGCATCTTCTTGGCTGGGGACGGCATCTTCGCGGCCCGCACCGCGCTCTACGGCTACGCGTTCGAGGAGAGGATCAACCTCAGGGACGCGTCCGAGTTCCCCCAGGCCCGCCTGACGCTCAAGGGCTTCTCCAAGGCGGCGCCTGGGGGGCAGCGGGGCCCTTGCCCATGGGAGGCGGCGCTGCTGATAGTCGATCAGTGCCTCAGCCCCTCGTGCCCGCGTCGGCGGCTTGCGGGGGCTGCCGCGGCAGTGGCCTTCGACGGCTACCTTCGACTCTCGGAGCTGCTCAACGCGAAGGCCTGCGACGCCACGTGCCTCCAGCACTCTGCGACGTCGGCCGACCCCCAGGTCTCGATCTCCCTGACGCCCGCGGCGCCGCCAGACTGCCCGCCGTCCGCGACGACGAAGTCCGGCGAGTACGACGACACGGTCATCGTCGGCGGCAGCGCGGCAGCGGCCGCCCCAAGGCGCTGGGTGGCCAGGCTCATCCGAGACCTCAAGAGGGCCGCTCCAGCCACCAGGCCGCTCTTCCCGTTCACGGCCCGTGAGTTCGAGGCCGCCTTTCGGCAAGCGGCTGACGCGGCCGGGCTGCAGAGGTTGCGCCTCTGCCCGCACGCCCTGCGGCACGGCGGAGCATCGGCCGACTTCGCGCTGAAGTACCGCTCGCTCGCGGAGGTGCAGCGCCACGGCCGCTGGAAGTGCGCCGCGAGCGTGAGGCGGTGCGAGAAGGCTGGCCGATTGACCCGACAGCTCGCCAAGCTATCCAGTGATCAGCTGTCAGCCGCCAGCCTCGTGGGTAAGAGACTTGCCGCCAAAGCATAATTCGACTTTGGCCGCAGCGTGACAAGGTGAACCCAAAGTTGCCCCCTAGTTGCCCTGAGGCCTCACCAGCTCCCAATATGGGAAAATATGGGTGCAGTCTGTTTGCAGTTTTGTTTCGTGCACGACTGTATGATAGACATTGCTTTCGTTGGCATACATATTGGATTTGGTTCGGCTCTCGGCCGATCGATGCTGCAAGATCTGTGATAATGAATTGTTGTGCAATCCTACTGGCTTCCGCCAGCGCCGCCATCTCTTGTCGTGCGTCTTGGGGCCTTGCACAATGTCGTTCTTTGAAGTTAATTGTGCCTCGCTTCTTTTGAGCACGACCGTCTGAATACTTGTGCTCAAGTTTTTCGGCACCGTCCGCCTTCGCCCACCGCCACCTGGGTGCAGTCTGTTTGCAGTTTTGTTTCGTGCACGACTGTATGCTAGACATTGCTTTCTTTGGCATACAGATTGGATTTGGTTGCTCTCGGCCGATCGATGCTGCAAGATCTGTGATAATGAATTGTTGTGCAATCCGACTGGTTTCCGCCAGCGCCGCCATCTCTGGTCGTGCGTCTTGGGGCCTTGCATAATATGTATATATATGTATATATACACATATATATAGCGACGTATCAGCCAGAGAACAACGCATTGCGGAATATAACAGGTTGCACGAGACATGTTCCAGCTACAATATGACAACTGAACATACGTGTTACTGCTGTTGGATCCACTCTCTAAACATTGCAACACAGTGTTGATTGATGGCACGCCGACAGGGCGAAGAAAAGATACGCAAGATGCTCGTGCACTGTCCATTCTCCAATGTTGCAGCGCTGGCGGCAACATCAGAGATACATGTCGGCGGCGAGCCAAGGGGGGAAGTGAGAGGGGGCGGGCCTTCTCGGAGGGCTCGGAAGTCCCCAGGCCTTCTCAGAAGGTTTGTGAGTTTCCCCCGAAGACGCAGAAAACCTCTCAGAAGGCCCGAGGGCTTCTGAGAAGTCCCGCCTCTTGATAAGGCCCTCTCCTTCTCATTTCCCCCCTTCGCTCGCCGCCGAACATGGAAGACAGTATTGCGTGTTTGTTGCTGTATGCCCCCTTTCCTCTGCCCATCCCCCATTCCTGTGCCCATCTCCCTTCCCCTGCCACCCTCCCGCCTCCCCCCATCCCACTCCCCTCGTTTCCCTTAGCGCGCGGGGCGTGCTGAGACTGAGCCACGCCAGCCGACCGGCGTTCGTTGTGGCCTTGCGCGTCTTCTGGAATTCGAGTTTCATGGCATGGTTTTCTGAATTCCAATCCTCCATGGTTTTTTTTGTTCGTTCTTTATACATACAACTCCTCTTCCTCCTCGTCGTCCTCCGCATCATCCTCCACTCGATGACGCCATCCCTTCTAGACCTCGCGGTCCTCACCCTCCATTCTCTTTCCAATGCTTATCCCCTCCTCCCTCCTGGAGGCCTCTAGGTGCGCAAAGCCCTTGATTCTCGAACCTCGATCCTCAGACCTCCGCCTGCCTCCCCATGGCCAATATAGTGTTCGTACCACCTGCTCTTGCCAGGTGCCCTTAGCTTACTCGAGAATCGTCTTGCCGATGCTCGAGGCGCCTGCTAATACCGTACGAGCGCGAGCGCTGCTTGCGGGCAAGGCATGTGGTTTCGTGACCTGGGCGATCAATATCTGCCTTAATATGTTCCCTGGGCTTGTCTTCCTTGGCATAAAACAAGTGTGCATGAAGATCGTCTCGCGCAGGCTCTGCCCCATCCATCCATCATTTCTGCTTTCTTTCTTCCTCACTCCCTTGTGCCTCCTCTAGCCTTCCTATTCCACTTGTATGATACAGCAGCTCCGCTTTGCGTTTGACCGAGTCGCGCTATGTTATTCTACTCTCCGATTGCGTACACAAGTGGGATTATGGCTTGGCATTACGGGGTATCGGTCGGACGGTTTCATCAGGATTCGTCTTTTCATGATTGCCGTTTGTTTAGACCAGTTGTTGAGACCGCAGAGCGGGAGTCACGGCGACCCCCCGGGGGAAGTTCGCACGTAGTTGTTGCAATCATTGGGTGTTAGGGACATTGTTTCGACGTTGGTCGGTACCAGTCGTTGAGATGTGTCTGGGGGCCATGTTAGCGTTCTGTGAGGGTCGGACAGCATCCTGGGTGTCCAAGGGAAGCATGAGCCCGGAAATGCGCGAGGGGTGTGCTGAATGGATGTGTTCGTGGCTTTGCGAGGGCAAACCACTCGTATGTTTACGCGTCCCAGGGTATTGTCACACAGGAAATGCGTGAGGGGTGCGCCGAAACAAGACGTTCGCATCCCTCGGGGCGCCGATCATACATACGTTTACGTGCCCCAGGAGTTGTGATGCAGCCTTGCTTTACGAAATGCGCAAAGCCCTTCTGAGCACGCCTTACACATGCCATCCCATCATCCTCCATCCCATCATCATCTCATCATCTTGTATCGACGGCGAACACGGCGAGGGACCGCAGGGGTTCCGCCGAATTGAGCCCGCAGAGCGGGAGTCACGACGGGCCCCCAGAGAGAAACACGCACGCAGATGTTGCAATCAGTGGGTGTTCGGGGTACGGCTTCAACGGGGATCGGTACCATTCGTTGCGACTTTTCTCAGGGCCATCTTGGCCTCTCTTTGGGGGGCAGGTGGTCTTCGGAGCCAGCAGACGGCCTGTGGAGGTCCATGAGCCACTAATTGCGTGAGGGCTATGCCGAATCGAAGCTCTCCGGAACCGTCTGAGGGGTCAACTAAGAACCACCGGGAGTCCAGGAGGTTCGAAGTGCGTGAGGAGTGTGCCGAATCGAGGTTCATTTTAGCAATCTTGAGGGTCAGCGGATGGCTCCTGGACGTCCCCGGGGGCACGAAGTGCGTGAGGAGTGTGCCAAGTTGAGGCCCAAGGAGCAGTCTTTGGGGCCAGCCGAGCTCCCATGATGCACGAAGTCTTGTGAAAAAACACACTCACACATACATTGTGGAAAAAACACAGACCTGTGTATTTGTTCCACAGATTGTTTGTTTCCACAGACTGTGTGTGTTCTTCCACAGTGTGTCTGCTTTTTGTTCCACTGTGTCTGTGTATGTCAGTGTAAGTGTAAATGTAAGTGGAAGTGTAAATGTAAATGTTAGGCTAAGTGCAAGTGTAAGTGCAAGTACAAGTGTAAGCCTCAGTGTAAGAGCAAGTGTAAGTGCAAGTGTGAGTGTAAGTGTAAGTGTAAGTGTAAGGGTACATGTACTTGTAAGTGAAAGCGCAAGCTTAAGTGCAAGTACAAGTGCAAATACAAGTGCAAGTGTAAGTGTGAATGTAAGTGTAGATGTAAGTGTCAGTGCAAGTGCAAGTGCAAGTGCAAGCGCAAGTGCAAGTGCAAGTTTAAGTGTGAGTGTGAGTGGAAGTGTAAGTGTAAGTGTAAGTGTGAGTGTGAGTGTGAGTTTGAGTGTGTGCGTGTGTGCGTGTGTGCGTGTGTGCGTGTGTGTGTACGTGTGTGGGTGTGTGTGCGTGTGTGAGCGTGTGTGTTGTGTGCGTGCGTGCGCATGTGTTTGCGTGTGTGCGTGCGTGTGTATGTGCGTGTGTGTGCATGTGGGCGTGTGTGCGTGTGTGCGCATGTGCGTGTGTGCGTCTGTGTGTGTGTCTGTGTGTGGGTGTGTGGGTACGTTTGTGCGTGTATGCGTGTGCGTGTGTGTGTGTGTGTGAGTGTGTGTGTATGTGTCTGGATGTGTGCATGTGTGTGTCCGTGTGTGCGTGTGCGTAGATATGTGTGTGTGTGTATGTGAATGTGCGTGTGTTGTGTGTTGGGTGCTGCGTGCTGTGTGTTGTGTGTTGTATATTGTGTGTTGTGTGGTGTGTGCTGGGTGTTTGTGTGGTGTATGGTGTGTGTGTGTTGTGTGTTGTGTGGTGTGTGTTGTGTGTTTTGTGTGTTGTGTGTGTGGTGTGTGTGTTGTGTTTGTTAGGTGTGCTGTGTGTGTTGTGTGTTGTTTGTTGTGTGGTGTTGTTGTTGTTGTTGTGGTTGTGTGTGTGCGTGTGCGTGTGCGTGTGCGTGCGCGTGTAAGCGTAAGCGTAACCGTAAGCGTAAGCGTAAGCGTAAGCGCAAGCGTAAGCGTAAGCGTAAGCGTAAGCGTAAGCGTGCGTGTGCGCGTGCGTGTGCGTGTGCGTGTGCGTGTGCGTGTGCGTGTGCGTGTGCGTGTGCGTGTGCGTGTGCGTGTGCGCGTGCGCGTGCGCGTGCGCGTGCGCGTGCGCGTGCGTGCGTGTGCGCGTGTGCGTGTGCGTGTGCGCGTGCGCGTGCGCGTGCGCGTGCGCGTGCGTGCGTGCGCGTGCGTGCGCGTGCGCGTGCGCGTGCGCGTGCGCGTGCGCGTGCGGGTGCGGGTGCGGGTGCGGGTGCGTGTGCGTGTGCGTGTGCGTGTGCGTGTGCGTGTGCGTGTGCGTGTGCGTGTGCGTGTGCGTGTACGTGTGCGTGTGCGTGTGGGTGTGTGTGTGTGTGTGTTGTGTGTGTGTGTTGTGTGTGTTTTGTGTGTTGTGTGTGGGCGCTTGCCTGTGCGTGTGCGTGTATTTGTGCGTGTGCCTGGGCTTGTGCGTGGGCGTGGGCGTGGGCGTGGGCGTGTGCGTGGGCGTGTTTTTTTGTTGTGTGTGTGTGTGTCTGTGTGTGGTTTTGTGTCTGAGCGTGTGTGTCTGAGTGTGTGTGTGTCTGTGTGTATGTGTGTGTGCCTGTGTGTCTGTGTGTTTGTGTGTGTGTCTGCGTGAGTGTATGTGCGTGTGTTTGTGTGTGTCTGTCTGTGTGTCTGGGTGTGTGCCTCTGTGTGTGCGTCTGTGTGTGCCTCTGTGTGTGTCTCTGTGCTTGTCTCCGTGTGTATCTATGTGTATGTGTCTGTGTGTGTCTCTGTGAGTGCCTCTGTGAGTGTATCTGTGTGTGTTTGTGTGTGTCTGTGTGGGTGTCCCCGTGTGTGTCTCTGTGTGTGTCTCTGTGTGTGTCTGTGTGTGAAGTCCGCTCACTTCCCTACTATACCCCATCTTGCCGCAACTGCATTGGCTCAGGTTTTGGCAATACACCATGGGTGCACTCCTCTCTGCGCAGTGCCCTCGAAAAGGAGTCCTACTCCTCGCCTCCACCTACGGATCCCGTGTAGGAACGGCCCCATCGGCCGTCCCCCTATGCTCACAGGTTATCAGCCTTTTCTTTGCCGCGTCATCTTGGATTCCGCCGCTCGGCGTTGCATCTCCGTTGCCCCGCCAGCAAGCGCGCGATCTCATCAGCGGCGCGCTCTCGCGACGGCACCATGGATAGGGCAAGAGAATCTGTGATACCTACCCCCCCCCCGCACAGGCGAAGGCAGCGCCGCGTCTTTCGCGGTTGCACTCGGCGAACTCGTACCCGATTATCCGATGCTTCCGCCGCCCGCGCGCGCGCACTCGCCTCGACCCTCGCGACAACGGCTGGATTCGCCCCCCGCGGCGCCTGATACATCCGCGCCACGCCCGTCGGCGGCCGCGCCCGCAGTTGCCCCGTCTGTCGTCGGAGCCGACGCTGGCTTGACTACGCCCGCCCCCCCCCCCACCCACCCACCTTCGCTGACGCGAGCGGCGTCGGTGGCAGCGCCCGCGGCGGCCATCGCACCGCGAACGCGCCCCCTGACATCGCCTTCGCGCGCAGCCGCCGCAGGGCCAATGCCCCGTCGCCCACAAATGCATCCGCATCCGAACATACGCGGGCCATAGAGAAGCGCACTGGACGGACGTCTCAGCGCCAGGTTCCTGAGAGGTATCACATTCGCCCCCCTACTCGAGATGCCAGCCGCAGCCCCTCTCAACGATACTCCCGGCAAGGCTCTCAGCAGCGCAACCTCGTTGCACACCCCCCCCCGCTGGCAGTGACCTGGCAGAGTTCCGAGACCAGGTTGAAACATACACGACCCAACAGCTGTCGGGCCTGGCCGCTCAGACGGCCACCATCAGACAGGAGCTGCAACATGATCTTGCTTTGGTCGGCGCTAGGGTCGCTGAGGATCGATCGATCATCTCTCAAGTACAATTCCAGGCCGACCAGATGGAGTCACACTGAGGTGCCGACTCCAGCGCGACCCAGACACTTCGCGACTACCTCTTACGGATGGAGGCCTAACTCGCGACCGTCAAGGATACAGGGATTGTTGCCGTCAGGACACTACACGATGAGCTCCCGATGGCACGGCAGACCCCGCCTATGGAGGTACATGGACCCACGGGCCCTCAGCTACGTGAGGACTTGGATACACTTCGTACTCAGGTCGAACAGCATGCTGCCACCTTGCACTCCACCCACGCCACACTCACGTCAGAGTTAGAAGGTA